TTGAGGATCTGCAAGAAATTAGTAGACATAAAGAATCTGTTGATGTTGACCAATTTTTGGAAGCAACAAAGCCGGAGTTGTCGATAGCTGAACAAATAAAGTTGCAAGAACAGGAAGACGAGGAGTTCATTAGGTAACTTCTTGTTCTCAATTTTTGCGGCATTTGCCATTGTTATACGTGTTGTTTTTGCACAAGCCGTATACTCTAATATCATCTTCCTTTGTAGGCAAGTTCTTGGAAAAACTGCCGATGGCAAGATAATCAAACGGTTAGAGGATGACGATGAAGAAGAGGGGAAACCTGGAACTAGCGGTTTGGTCAGCGCATCGTTGCATGAGATTGTAAATCACATTCAGGCTAAATTTTCAACTAATGCTGTGTATCATTAGTGTTACTATGGCTTATTTTGTTTTTATTTTAGGTCAAAACCGAAGAAGTCCATGATGTAAAGCCATTAGACATAAAGCCATCATTCGCCAAGGATGTGCCAAAACGGCCAAACGATCAAAAAACTCTTTTGTCGAAATTAGTCGTAGTAAAGAAGAAAAAGGTATGTTGTATCTTCGGTTCTACTTTTTTTCTGTTATAAACACTGTAACGAAACTCTTCGCAATCACCCTGGTTCACAACAGTTAAAAATTTAATTTTTCTTTGCACAGATCGGTTACCGTTATTGCCTTTAAGGATATTTAGTTAACAATACCATTTTTGGAAAACTATTAGTGGAAAAGTGATCACAGTAAGATTTTTTTCTATTTTGTAATATCAGTTGAAAAAAGGAATTTTTCATGGAATGTTGCGAAACTAACGATAAGTCTTCAATCACTAACATTTCTTTTACTTTTCCCATCTAAAAATTAGAATTTTGCGGTTGAAATAGCTAAAGAAGTGTGATTGATTGCTCTCTTATCTTTGCGAACCTTTTCTCTTCAAAGAGAAGATCTGTATGTTGAACAAAATTTTGGGCAGATAGAGAATTTTGCTTGTGGCTTGGTGAATGTTGTTATCAATTCTGGATTTCCTTCGATCCAACAAAGGTTTTTTTTGCATATTTCGACTAACCTTCTTATTCGTACGTTTATATGTCATTTCAACTTTTTATTTCTCATTCTAAATATTGTAGTTGCTTGCTCCAACTCAGGCTTTTCCTTCCCTTTTTGACATTTCCGATATTGATCAGACGTTTGCCTGATTTACAAGTTCTTACTCATATTCCAACTGAGTAACTAATAACGAAGTAATTTCACCCTATTTAATACTGCCAAGCACTGCATCTTCACAAATGAGATCCTTCTTTCTCTTAGGAAAGCAATTCTTGATCGAATTT